TTTTTGGGGCTAGGTTACTCAGGCCCTAAGAAACCCGTAACCCAAACCTCAAACCCTAGACCAACCCGAAGACTAGCAGCCCTCCTAGCAACTCGTTCAAAGATCTTCGAGCCTCAGCTGAGAAGTAGGGTAACCTTTAACCCCTTTTTTTGGAGGTGGGGATACTATTATGATCCCTATATTTTAAAACCCCAAAGGTTATAACCTTTACCACCNNAAAAAAAAAAAAAGTAGGTGAACTAGTGGCCAACCACCTAAAAGCTGTTATTTCTCCATACTTTTGGGGTCAAGGTAGTTCCCTGAAATACTGGACAAGTAAGCCCAAGATGCTCAAGATGCTGCAAGACCTTACCACCCAGCAAGCCTTAAACGCGTAAGTGCCAGCTCTGAAGGATAGGAGTTACGGGTGTGGGTTTCGGGAGACCCTGAACACCCTGACCTCCAATTACTCTTGGCAGGCAGGGCTGGTACTGGGAATCGTGTCGCCGGCAAGTCCGAGCTGTGGATTGCAGTTGTTGGGTTGTGGCTTTCCGGAGCAGTTCCCGCCGTTTGCTCTGGGTTTGTGCGGGCAGGTGCCCTGAACCTAGTTGCAGCCCTGAGCCCTATAAACCCTAAACCTTAAACTCCCTAACCCCTAGACCCTAAACCTAAAACTCCCTAAGCCCTAAGTTTCAGAGCCCAGGTTGAGAATAGGCCACTTGCTTTTCTTTTCAAGCTGAGTTGAAGCTTCGGCCAGGTTTGGCATTCCGGGGCAATTTAAGTTTGAGGCATTAGGGTTTAGGGGTTTAGGGTTTAGGGTTTAGGGTTTGGGCTTTAGGGTTTAGGCTTTAGGCTTTAGTGTTTAGGGTTTAGGCTTTAGGGTTTAGTTTAGGGTTTGGGCTTTAGGGTTGATGTTTTAGGCTTTAGGGTTTAAGTTTTAGGCTTTAGGGGTTTAGGGGTTTGGGGTTTAGGGTTTTAGGCTTTATAGGGTTTAGGGGTCGTGTTGGGCCAGCTGGGCCTCGTGGCATGATCGTTCAGAGCAGATTCGTCAAGCTTCGACAAACACTTTCTGTAGCTGCGGATTCGGATGCTGTTCGGTTTCTATTGGAATCTGAAGTTTGAGATTTGTTTCGATACCTCGGGCATCCGTGTTTTGATGGTAACCCAAAACCCTAAACCCCAAAAATCTATATGCTGCCCTGCCAACTGCATAGAGTCCGAAGAGGACTTTCCAGGCCCAACGCTTCAAAGTCCATGACTCTGCACGACGACGACAGGGTTTAGGTTCAGGGTTTTAGAGGCTTCAGTATGGGGTTTTAAAGTTTTAGTAATGGCGTCTTAGAGTCTTTAGTATGGGGTTTTCAAAATGCGTCGGGTTCAGAGTTTAGGGTTTCAGATGTTCGAGGGGCCCCTAGGCAGGAATGGAATCCGCAGCGACTGAAGGCACTAAAGGCGACCTGAGGGTTTTAGGGCTTATGCTAGGGCATTGGTTTCTGGTTGTGCCCATATCAGCTTTGGCCCTACTGTACTTATTGTATACAGACTACTTTGAGGCCAGTAGGCACAGGGACCCTCAGGAAATTCTAAGTGCGCCAGGCCATGTCGTTTGTCTTCACGGCCAATACGTCCCTTGGACCACTTGTATGGAGTTCGGGCTAGGAGAGTTGATACAAATTAGGGTTTATAGGGTTTAGGGGCCCAGGCAAACCAAAAGCCACAAGTGACAATCTCCAATGTTTGTTCGTGACATTGTTCAACAAGTACATCAACATACGTTTTTGCTGTAGTCAGCTAGTCAGTTAGTAGTAGTATTACTAATAGTAAGTAGTAGTGAAGCAGTGTGCGGGCCAGCTACTAACGGGACTACATGGCCACGAGATGATTCGGTGTCGATTCCGCTATGAACTTACACGTACTACGCAGACCCATATCGAATTTGCAGAGTACCTTTGTGAGATAGCCCATCTTCTGGTTCGGATACTCCAATCAATGAGAAACTAAACTAATTATAAGGTCGCCAACAAAAGGTACTACATTTCAGGGTCCTAGGTATGTATATACATATAACCCTAAAGCCTAAACCCTTAAACCCTAAACCCTCCTAGAACTCCTTAAAGGAATTCAGAAAAAGGAACCCCCCCAAAAAAAGGAAGTGGAGCACGAGGCCGGGAATCCTGGAAGTTCCCTTCAAGCACCAACCCTAATCTAAGGTTGAACCATGGGCCCCTAGTATTAATCCTGGGACCCTTATATACTTACTATATACCCTATATATACCCTTAAGGGACCCTAGACACGCCTAAGAGTCCATATTCGGGCCCATACTTCTAACCTTGGACCTAAGGGTCCATGCGCCCAGATCCGGCTCCTGTCAGGGTTCCTTTAAGGGTACCCATAAGGGTTCCTTTAAGGGTACCCATAAGGGTTCCTATAAGGGTGCCCACAAGGGTTCCTTTAAGGGATCTATAAGGGTGGATTTGGGTTTTGGGTATAAGTAGTATAAGGGTCCCTGTACCGAAATAGTACTTTTGCCCCAAAATACCCATGTAGGGACCACGTCGAGACCAAAATATAGACAAGTTGGGTACATGGACCCTGAGGGCAAGATCCTGGAATACATCCCTGAATCCAGGAATATACCGTATATTATAGTAGGATCCCGAATATGGTTTAAGGTCTTTTCCTTAACCCCAAACCTAAACCCTCAACCCTAAACCCTGAACCCTAAACCCTAAACCTTACTTAAGGGATCTTGGAAGATCTGGACACTCCGCTGGTTCGGAGATGGATTGTGGTCTGGGGCAGCCTGCAAAAAGGGCCTTCAGGGAACGAAAGGCTGCGAAGCCTCGCAGGTTACTAAAGGGGCCTCAAGAGTTAGAATAGGGTTTGGGGGTAGCGTACTATAATCATAATAAGGAGCCCCCAAAACCCTATTCTAATTATTAAGGGCCCTCCATTACGCAGTAAATGGTACGGTCATGAGAAGCTCATGACTGCATGCTACGCAAATATAGACTCGAAAGCGTAGCTTCGCTTGGACTTCGAGTTTCCTACACCCACAAGTCTGACCCTAACGACACTCCGTGCCCGGTCCAAAGGGCCCAATAATTCGATAATTGATAGTAGTTGAGCTGGGGAGTGTAGGTTTACTAGGTTAGTATTTGGGAGAGTATATGATTATTAAGTGCATGGAATGTTAATGTTGGGATCTGTCTTCAGCAATAGATGGCCTGTTGTATCTGAACCGAACTCTTGAAGCCCCATAAATCCTAAACCCTAAACCCTAAACCCTAAACCCTAAACCCTAAACCCATGACTCTCCAATGCTGATGCCTTCAATCGTCAGTTCCAAGTCCCAAGCCCCTTAGCCCCAAACCCCGCACCCCAAAGCCCTGAACCCTAAAACCCGAAACCCTAAACCCCTAATGTCCTGAAGTCGTGAACCCTAAACCCTAAGCCCCTAAAGTGAACCCTGAAAAGCCAGAGAGCCTTCAAGCAGACCCCGAGCCCTGCACTCTCGGAGAATAGGGGCCCTTCAAGGTTACAGTTGTTCATTCTTGGAGCTTTGTGAAGGAACCTATATGGCAGTAAGCTAGGGGCCCGAATGCTGATTAGACTAATTAGGGGTTTTGGTTTTTGTTATATACATATATACGACATCTCATCCTAGGACGATGAGCTGCCTGGAGACGTCGAAGTCCTTCATGCGCTTCTGCAAGGACCCAGGGTTTACGGGTAAATGGGATCTATAGGGGTCAGGAGTTAGGGTATAGGGTTTAGGTTTGATTCATGGACTGGGGTTTGGGGTTGAGGGGCATGCAAGGAGGAATAGGTACCTGACAGGAATCCCCTTGTAGGCCATAAGGCTCATGCTAAGTGCGAAGAGTTTCTGCATTCCTAAGCCCTTTAGTCACGTCCTGAACTATACACCCTGTAGCTCTAGACTCTATACCCTACCTGTCTCGAAAAGACCTACCTTTTGAGGGTTCCCTATTATGCTTTCTATATATAGTTCCTTAAAGAAGTAGGTCTTTTGGGCCACCCGTAAACCTGATTTGCATTCCCTTTTCGCCAGAATCCGGCCACTGACAGGAGACCGAGGACGTGGAAAAGCAGAAAGCCCTGCCATTTCCGTCGTCGTGCCTTGGCGGTGAAAGAAGATCATAAGAGAAGGGTCCAAGCACCCAATTGCCAAACAGTCGCGTCTTCGGACTCAGGTACTATCCTCTGAATGGTTTTGGGCTCCTAGAACCCCAATGTTTGAGTAACCTGGAAGCCTAAATAATTACCAAAATATTCTTAGGGTTCCTTCAATATATTGATACTATATAGGAGCCCTAAGCCGTATTCTAATTATTAAGGCCCCTACATTACCTGCCTTAAAGGAACAGTTTGGCTTTGGCTCTTGAGTGAGTTCTCGACCCCAGGACAGCAAGAACTTTTTGAACCACCAACCCTCGACTCTTTGGCTGTGCACTGTAGGGGCCTAAATAATTACCAATACTAAGGGTTTAGGGTTTAGGGTGTAGGGGGGGTCCTTACTATAAGTATAGTATACTGACCCTAAACCCTAAACCCTAAACCCTAAACCCTAAATACTGGGCCCCCGAAAGGCCCCTATATAGCGGGTTTAACCCAAGCTCCACAGATTGTTGCACCTGTGTTCCTTGTCGGTGCCCGTGCTTCCTGAGGACAACAACTGTGAATGCGGATTCCGGAATCATCAGCTTTCATATCGTACCTATAGTCTCCATTGTAGTTCCTTGTTGGGGTTATCTTGTAGGATCCTACCTCTAATTGGTTAAACCGTGAAAGCACGAGCACCCGTGCATGAAGCCTAAAAGCAACCAGAGCGAAGTGTGAAGCCCCAATATGCACTGGAAGTTCTACTATCCCGAATCCTGTCAACATCTGAGTCGCAAGCGACGGCTGGCCCCACTAGCCCTAGGCCCCAGACCCCTTCACCCGAAATAGATCGGAACGAAGCCGCCATGTAGACCATAATAGTCACAAGTGTGTGTTTTCGACTTTGCTTGGGGGCCCATATAATCCAGTTCCCTACAGCCCTGCAATTACTAATATCCGACTATCCAAACCTAATTGTTGGTCAGCTGAGCGAAAGAGAATCCAAGAAGTTGAAAGAACCCATCCTATATCCACAAAGCCCAGGCATTACAAGGCTCTGAAGATCTTGTCCTCCTACGGCACGATCACGTCGATGCGCATGGCGGCACAGTCGCAAAGTCGGGTCTTTTTTGTTCACATAGGATTGAGTTCAGGCTGTGCGTGTTTTTCTCCTGGTAGTCGTAATAGAACACGGTTCGGTGTGTGTTTTAATCGCAGCGTGATAATTGCTGACCAGGTTTTAGGGCCGCAGAATCAGCAGGAAGAAATGTTTCTCGCCCTGGTTCTCGTAGCTACTGCAAGCAATTGTGGTTGTCTTCGTCTTCCCAATTGCAGCGCAGGTTTTCAATCCGCTCATCAACACGCTGGCCTGCCCAATGCACGCGGCCTCAGTTCCATGGTGGGGGGGGGGCATCATGCAAGGTCACGAAACCTTAAATCCCCAACCCGCCAAACGCACTCGAAACGCTAAACTCAAAGATAGCCTCAGGACTTCCCCACCCGAAACCCTAAACCCGAATCCCTGACCCTTGTCCTTGCTTGCTTCTTTTATCCGATTCTTAAGAGGTGTTCGATATTTTCGGCTAAAGGCAGTGCTCACCTTTTAGCTTTCGTCTTCGTGCACGCAAACCAAAGCCCGAAGTTCGCAAGATAGTTGCAAACCCAGTTTTGTTATTTATCGTGAGGTCCGTCTTTGGATCTTCGCCCTAATGTGATCTTGAAACCTATAAGCCCCAATTCAGCCCCCTGTCTTTGCAACCCCCGTAGTTGAACCCAGGCTTGGAATGGCCGCATGTGCTGTCATGGGCCGACCTTTCATGCGAATAGCGGCCGTGTATGGTCTTATCATGCTAGCGCCGTTTCTATAAGAATAAGGGTCCTGAAGGTTAAACTGTGTTTATGTACGGCTTGTTCTGCAGGATACCTAAACCCTAAACCCTAAACCCTAAACCCTAAACCCTAAACCCTAAACCCTAAACCCTAACTCGGTTTTCGAGGTGCAAGCAGGAGGGTTTCGAGGGTGCCGGTTTTAGGGTTTCAGACTTGGGGCCGTCTTGAGCTGTCGGTTTAGGGGTTTAGGGTTTAGGGTTTAGGGTTTAGGGTTTAGGTTAGGGTTTAGGGTTTAGGGTTTAGGGTTTAGGGGCAACTTGAGCTGTCTGGCTTTATTTAGGGGGCTGGGTCCATGGCAACGTAGGGTTGGTAACATAGTTGCCCTGCCCCTGGAAACCCTAAACCGTTTAAAGTTAATGTTTCGTTGGGCAGTGTGTAAGTTTTGGGTTTAAGGTTTACTATACAACGACCCCAAACAGTTCTCAATCAGGTACTGGTGCCTAGAATAGCTGCAACTGCAGGCAAGTGTGATGGATGAGCTAGCTGGACCCTTCGGGTACGGTATGCGGAATCCATTCAATCCGAGCCCTTTTGAATCCTTTCACCCCGATTCCTTTAGGTCCTGAGCCCTGCGCCCCTTTATAGGGGCCTGAGTGATTTGTAATACTACGGGGGTTCTCCAATTGTTTTCGTACCAAAGCCCGCCCAAGACCCCAATCAATTCAGTCGTGCCAGGGAACTCTAGAATCCCTGAACCATACCTACAGTTGCCATTGTAGTTCCTGTTTGGGTTACCTTATAGGACCCTTACTAACCAAACAAGGAACTACAATTGCCACTATAGGTAGACCCCAAACCTGAAGTCATGAACCATAGGCCCCGCAAATCCTGAGGTTGGCAGGTTTCTTCTTGGGTACCCGGGGGTTGCTGTTCCTGCTATCAGGCGGGGCGGAATTCGGACTGGCGTTTCTTGTTTGGGGGTTGAGGGTTGAGGGATGCCCAGGAATCAGGGGTTTAGGGTTTCGGGGTTTGAATTTTTGCTGTTTAAGAAGGGGTCCTGCTTGAGGGCGGCAAGGCTTGGGGCGTGACACTTGAGCTTTCAGGTGTTCTTCGGTGTGTTAGTAAACACAGAACAGTTGCAATAGGGTTGCTTTGTTGCCAAACAATGCCTAGACTAGACCCTGGAATGTGGTGCCTCTTGTCGATGTTCGGACCCCCCAAAATAAAAAGTCAGGTGACCACGAAGAGGTACTAGACTTGTCAGTTTGGGTTGTATATATTTCGAGTGCTGCCACGAATTTCTGGAGTACCATACGTGAATGCCTTTTTTGGACCTGTTCCTCACAGGAGCCTAAAGTCTATCGTTTGTCTCCCTGGCTACTCCAAAAGATCTTCCGAATCCCTTAATGAAACAACATACCTACCCATAGGCCCGAAAGTAGTTCCTTTTTGGGGTTCATACATAGAATCCTATAAGGTAACCCCAAGAAGGAACTACTATGGGGCCTATGGGTAAGTATAAATCAGCCTAGGGATCCTGAAATAGATCTGCACAAGCGATGCCAGTCCGATTGTTTGGGCCCGATCTGAGACGGTTTAGGGTTTAGGGTTTAGGGTTTAGGGTTTAGGGGCCCTGATCGTACCTAGATGCTGGACTGTAGCGCTTCCTTTGGCGTAACGCGGCGTAACTATAGTTTAGGGTTGGGCTGCTACAACGCGTAGCATGAAGAAGGGCACATGCAGGGTCTCAGCAAGGGTTGTTTCTATTCCCTGAGCTCGAAACCTTAAACAAGGGTCATGGTTTCTGACCGGTACATGGGTCCGTAGTCTTTCGTGCATTTTCAGGTTCGATGATCTTGAGCTGAAGATCCGGTAGTTTCTGTGGACCATCAGGATGGTCCAGACGACTCCCTCAAACCCCAAAGTGCTGAAACCCAAGGCCTAAACGTGCGATGCTGGTTGACTGTCAGGTGCGTTTGGCGGGGCTTCTTGAAAGAACGGTGTTCAAAGGTCCTTCCCCCAACCCTAAACCCCTAAACCCTAAACCCCTTACATTCAGATTAGGGCGTTGCGCTTGTCAACTTGCCCCAGGGTCCTAACAGGTCTTGAATTGAACGGCCTCTAGGCTGCGACGTTTTTCATTTTCCCTCCTGGGATTAGGGTTTAGAGTTTATATTCGGGAACTTTGCCATGGCATGCGGAGGCGGCACCCAAGTCGGCCACGCAAAAAAGGGCAATAAGAAACGCCCGACTACCGTGCAGGAGCCGGTCGCCAAGGTGGCGGAAACCCGGGACATGGAAGCCGAGTGACCCCTAAACCCTAAACCCTAAACCCTATAAACCCTATAAGCCCTAAGCCAAAACCCTAAACCCTAAACCCTGATGAAGACGCTTCGCACAGCATTAGCCTGCTCTCGCACGTGCCATCCAAGTCCCAGCCATTTAGGGTTTAGGGTTTCCCTGGGGCTCCAAATATCCCAAAGTAGGTACTATTTATAGACTTTAGACCCCAAAGTAGGTACTATTTGTATACTTGGAGCCCTAGGGTTTAGGAGGATTCAGGATTTCTGGAATTCGAGCTCTGGGGTTTACGGTCTCGGTTCTACATGAGGCTTAGGCTTCCTAGGCCATGCCTCGTCGCATCCCACCAGGCTCAAATGTCCTGATCCTTTGCTTCAGCACCTTCCTGATGAATGCCGGTCAGTCATGGTTTTCTGCGCGCAGGCCGGATCTAGGGTTTTTTTCGGGTGGGGTAGTTCCCGTTATGGGAGCCTTATAGAAGGTCTATAGACTTTATAGAAGCTCTATATACCCTAAACTCCCCACCTGTAGTACCCTAAACCTAAACCCGAAGCATCTAAACCCTAAACCCGAAACCCCTAAACCCTAAACCCGAAACTCCCCACCTGTAATTTCCTTTCACCGGAGGGTTGCTCAGTTTGTCTGGGGGCAGCTTACCGCTTGTAACGGGCAGGGCTGCGATTTCAGGACCTAGGGTTTTCAGGGTTTAGGGTTTAGGGTTTTCAGGGGTCGCGTGCATCCCTTGGGACATACACAAAACATCTGCCTGGGGCTGATTAGAGATCGCAGTCTCGAGTTGTTTTTTCAATCTTTACGCCGTTTAGGGACGAGTTCCGAAACCCTAAACCCCTAAAACCCCTAAACCCTTCACCCTAAAACCCCTAAACCCTAAACCCTAAAACCCCTAACCCCCGAAACCCTAAACCCCTAAACCCCAAAACCCTAAACCCTAAACCCCTAAACCCTACAAGCCCTAAAGCTGGCTCCCAGGTCCCAATTCCTAAACCTCATACCCTCAGCATGCAGGACACAAATTCCCGAAACCACCCCTAAACTCCCTAAACTCCCTGAAGCCCTAAACGGTAGAGGTGTTTAGGGGTTTAGGGTTTAGGGTTTAGGCCCAAAGCCCTAATCCCTAAAGCCCAAAGCCCAAAAACCCTAAGCCCAAAACCCTAAGCCAGGCCGGGGCAGATGTTCGAAGGGCCAATACTCATTCCTCCTCCCCACCCTAAGCCCCGAGCCCTAAAGCTTCCCAGAGAACCCAATACTCCTTAATTAAGAAAGATGCCTTAAATTAGAGGGGGCCTTAATATTATGATTTCAAGTATATTCCTTACTTAAGGGGTATTGGGTTCTCTGGGTTGGTCCTAGAAAAGAGGTCGCTCCACTCGAAAAAAAGCTTGGTCCTTGCATCTCGACCCAGCTCTTCGGAGGATCTAGGGTTTAGGGCTTTTAAGAGTTGTTTTTAGGGTTTAGGGTTTGCAAGGGT